ACTCATGAGCAACTTCCCAATGGTCACCCATCCTGGGATTGCTCAAGCTCAATCTCGCTTAACTTCGGAGTTCCTATGGAATCCGAAGCCAGTGAGCTTCCAAAATGTCTCGTGCTATATGGTAGCTAAGGTTATGCTTTCCAATCCAGTTATCTCATACTCTAGATTTGATGGATTTGATTTGATCCTCAAATTCTTGAGTATTTTTCTAGCCTTCTCAGCGTAGTTACTTTTCACTAAGTTCGAGAGAACTTCACCATGAATTTGCTTGCTAAGGGATTGCGGACTACGTTAACTCAATTACATGGCAAGTGTGCCACTATTGTATCTTTGCGTGATGCGAGTGTTACTACTAAGTTTTGGAGAAGTCTTCTTGAGGACCACATGTAGTAAGTTTTATCACCGGCTACATTTCACCCTCAGACTAACGGCTAGTTTGAACGATTTACCCGGACCTAGATAGCTAATTTCTTCGTGGCACTCAAGGAACCTTTGGCAGTTATGACATTATCTTCAGTTTAGATGTATTAACTTATCACTGTTGTTTAATAAGTGTACTTTAGCTGCTTTGACTACTTTTTGGTGGTCGTACTATCTTTTATGCTCTGAATAATTGTAGTGGGTTACTCCCACGATTGTGTACTCTTTCATTGTTTAGTATAATTAGTTTTGATTAGTTTTAAATTTATTCACTTTTTCACATCACTTACTCTTATGGTTACGTCACCTTACAGTGATGGCTAGCACGCTTTGACCTTCCTAGGTCTGGGTCTGTCAATATATCCAGCGCATTTGTTAATAATTTTTTGATAGATTATTTGAAACAAATAATGGTCAACTTGCTATACATATTTAACAGTCTAATACAGTTTAAGATAGGCTATAACTCCAAAGCACTTAAGTAGTCCTTAATCCCCTAAATGACGTTGCATTTTGTTGGGGTCCAAAAATGTGACATATCAATCCAACCATGTCTCAATGCCCAATTGTCATGCAAAGCCTACATTCAAGCCCAAACACATGCCAATGCGCGGGATTTATGAGGAATATATTTACAAACATGTCATGCCACGGTGATTAAGCCAAATATTCACGCCATGCTTCCTTGGTCACTATTCATGCTAAGTCCAAGGCACATATTCGAGGCTTATCAAGTGGGTTGTGGTGTGGATAGGTTACGGAAGGTTATTGGGCTTACGTGGAATTGGGGTCATGGAAGACTTTAGGCTGCTTGGGGACTCAAAGATCTAAGCACATACCTTTTGTATTTCACCCAGGCAATATTGAAAGAGAACTAGCATAGTTTACCCCTTTCCCTAGCAAGCCAACCCTCTTAGTTAAAACTAAACTAGATTCATGCATTAAATGCATGCTAAGCCGAGTAAGTCAGGCATTTAATGCTGACTTTCCCTTCCCAATTTGCACAGACAACCAACGCTCGAAAGTCGTGAGGCACGCTACCAAAAGTAGTGCTTGCGGAAAACAGCCATGGGAAAGCCGCATCTCGGGAAAAAGAAAACTGCAGGTCTTAACAGTGTATCTATCTTACACCAAAAAATGAATAATAGAAGGCCTAAGAAGAAATGAGGGGAAGACTAAGCCACAAATGAAGATTCTCTTAAAACCTAAAAAAGAACCATTCACTTACATAAGGAGGGAGAAACCATTACAGAAGGGGGAGAAGAACACGCAGAGTAATAGATAGAGAGGGATAAGAAACACAAGAAGAGAGAACCACCTAGGAAATAAGCCTAGAAAGTTCCAGTTAGCCCATAAGTATACTCCAAGCCTTAAACATTATCATCCATGCAACCTTAGTAATTCCCACAGCCTTCCATTAAACATCTCAACCATTAGAAGCCTTGCTATCACCCTAGGAAAGCCCAAATTATGCAGCTAAGAATGCTATGCAACCATGCAAACCCTTTCTCTCTCATATTAAACCGAATCTTCTAGTTTCCACACGACGCTTCACTTGAGCAAGTCATTATCTTGATCAATCATGCTATCTTTGAGTTGTTAATGTTACCGGGGTATTTCTTAAGACAATCTAACTCTTTCGAGATATCCTGAGACTTGTTACGAATCCGGACCAAATGAGACAAGATGATGTTCTTAAAGCCCAAGTCCATCTCGACCTAAAAGTCCCCTAACATAAATTGGCGACTTTACTGGGGACAGGTTGCAATCTTCATTCAATGGCTCCAAGATCCGAGAGAAACACTACCAGGAGTGGCAACGCCTCAGACATAGGCAAGGCTGCTTCTCAACTTGATGAGTCTCAATGCGAAAGCCAGCATTAGGAAAGCCAGGGAAACCTGGACAAATATGACATGCCGGACATCATCGCAGTCATCTATGCCTTGGGTGAGGCCCAAAAAGAAATTGATGCGTTTGTGAAAAAGTTGAAGAACTCAATCCTGAAACCAAGCGAGAAAGCCAGTGACAAGGACTACGCGCCTAAAGAAAAGGTTTCTCATGAGGAATCAACTGGTGCTGCTGGTAAGGGTCCTAAGAAAGCATCATTCTTTGTCACTCATAAAGACATCATAGCAATGCTCGAAAAGGAAATAAATTCGGAGGATTGGAAATATGTTCTTGAGCCACCATATCCAACCAGCGTTCTCCACATGCCATATCCCAAGGAATACAAGATTCCCAATCTTGTTATCTTTGACGTAAAATATGGTAGCCTTAAGGAACATATAAGTCATTTCATTGATGATTTGGTCCTCATGCCAACGACTGTAACCTCCGTCTCAATGAGTTTTCATAAAGACTAACGGATCGTGCCTATACTTGGTACACCACCCTCGCACCAGGTTCTATCTGGACCTAGGAAGAGCTAGCAGGCAAGTTCTGTAAAAAGTACTTCCAGCATGAGGAAAGGGTCACGACAACTCAGCTCAACAATACGTGTCAAAAGCACAGGGAAGATCCGGTGACTTTTGTCAAACATTTCCGAGACCTCGCCCTTGACTGCTATGACAAAAAGAATGAGAAAGCCCTTGTAGAGATCTGTATTAGTAACATTATCGCTGACTATAAGGTGTACTTGGAGAACATCAGTATCAGCTAATTCTTGAGGCTCCTAGAAGTAGTGAGGAATACTAGCTTGTCAGTAAAGCCTTCCACAAGGAAACCCTGGAAAACTGACAAGAAGAAAGCTCATCATGCCCTAGCCGTGGATGATAGATCTGACTCCAACCCACGGAAAATGAAGGAAAGAGATAGCGATAGGGAAACTTATTTTCCACTAGCGTGCAACGACGAGGAATTCCAAACCATCCTCGACACCATGCTCGCATATGAAGCCATCAAGCTGCCCCAACCGTAGAAAACCCATTCTAGTGAAGATAGAAGGGATCCCAGGTACTGTTGCTACCATCAGTATGTGGGGCATCCTTCTATTGTATGCCAAACTTTGCAAAAAATTCTCCATGCAAAAATCTGCAAAGGGACGCTAGAGCTACCATGCAAGACGCAAGCCATAAACATTGACCCTCTGCCGAAACGCCGAGAGAAAGAGGTAGTATCTATCATCACATGCTCCAGATACGACGATGCCTATCACCCATGGATCATCGACCCCAAGCCACCGGGAACCATCTGGGAACCTTCTGGAAGCATGGATGAGACTTTCTGGTGCAAATACTCAAAGCCACAAAGATGTGATACGCCATGGTCCCAAGCTGAAGGATGGGGAGAGAAGAGTGAAGACATCATGGATTTTTGCCCAAGCTATGATGACGAGGTCTTCACCTTCGAGATGTCGGAAGAATACAGCTCGGGAACACCAGAAAGACAACAAAACAACCAGGAAATGACGGCTGTGACTTCGCACAACCTTTCTAACATGGAAACTAATGTAGTAGAGTACTACCTTTCCTAAGGGCAATGACCTATTGCAACACAGACCCTCCAGGGAAATACAAAATTCAAATCTCCCTTCGATCAACTTGGATGTAGGTTTCAAAACCTCATCTTAGGCCTTGGTTAAGCCTTGTACCTTTGAGAGGAAATGATCTCTCTTCGAAGTAGGCCTTACTATAAGAAAAAAAATTCCATTGTGCAAAAAGGTATTTAGAAAACTTTTTAATTAATTATTAAACCCACTTCTGCACATAACAAAAAATTTTACAAAATTGTGGCAGAATGATTATATTGATTTGCGACACTTATTTTCAAGGACTACATTCATCAACTTTCAATTTTAGGGACCATCTTGATGGTGTGGGTCAATTTTAGGGACCATCTTGATGGTGTGTGTTAATTTTAGGAACCATTTGTGATTAAAAAAAAAGACCCGTAAATCTTGTGGGGTCTATTTATGTGCCACCACATCAGCACTTAATGGAATTTTTTTAACATAATTGTGACGAAAGGACTACATTGATTTGCGACACCTATTTTTAGAGACTATATTGATTGATTTTCAATTTTATGGATTATCTTGATGATAAGGGTCAACTTCAAGAACTATTTGTGATAAAAACCCTTCTTTTTATCTCTGATCAATGAACTACTGCCGTTGCTTTCAATAAATAAAAAAATATAAAAAATAATAAAAAAAGAAAGAAATTGACTCTGAAGAAACTTTGACCATTATATTTCATACTAAAGATTGATGGATAATCTAAATAAGTAACTGGATCTTACGTTCTATAGTTTATGTGTTGAATGATTTTGGAGTAATGTCTTAGCTGGGGAATAATGCTTACAAATTATTGGCAGATAATAATTATACATGCAGATGTTAAATTGTTCATTTCCTTGTTCCCTTTATAAATTTAGATGGGCAAGGAGGAGGACTATGAAAATAAGTATAAACATTGCTGCTGCAACTTTATACATAAACTAAGAAATAAAAATTCAAAAGATGAAATGTCGTAATTGTATAATATATTTATTAATTTCTATATATAGTTGAATAAACATACATACAATAATGATTCCCAACTTGTTTTGATGAATTAGTTAAGAATGAATGGTACGTAAGATCAGAACTGGTTGCGGGATGAAAATGTTTGCCCAAACCCCCAAGTGGAAGGAACAACATTAGAAAATAAAAGTGCTCTTCCATCAATCAATGTGAGCTTAAACGAGAGTCTCTGGTTTCGAAGGTCGATGCTGCTTTGCCAATTTGCACCCCAGTTCCTGTGCATGGGCAGCCACGTTCCTCTTCTCATCCTCGACCCTCTAATCCATGCAGCCTTCACGTCACCGCTTCCGCCAACGTTGGAGATCATCACCATGTTGAAACTTGACTGTCCCTTCAAGGTGAATCGGACTCCGCCTCTTCTTTTACACGACACCCTTTAGTTCATACACACATTGCAAAGTGGATGCTCGAGGTTATTAATTGCAATATTCGACAATTAAAAGTGTTGTTAGTTATAATATGGAGTTGCTATTGACAGTCTAAATATGTAATCATGTATTAATTCATTATTTTTTTTTATAAATAAAAAGTGCCGGATGACATTTTTGAAGTGTTCATTAACATTTCTCATAATATATCAAATCAACACCACGATCAATTAATAATGTATATTTGAATTATAATGCAACAATCAATATAAGGTCCAGACTATACTCAAGTTCGAATCTTCTTTAAAGGGGTGGGTTTAGCCTCATAATGGGCTAGCAATAATGTGGTTCAAATTCGCCTTTGGCGAGAATCGAACCTAAAACCTCTCACTTACAAGTGAAGAGGAATACCACTAGACTGTAGTACTAAGTGACCTTGTGAATTATTATGTAATAAATATATATTGACCACATTGTTGGTACCTTCTATAAACGACAGGAACTATGCCTTCATTGCCTTGTCGGGCAATGCGAAGAAAAGCAGGCGTGGACATGTCAAAGTGTTGGTGGGGAAAATTGCACCACCCTCCGTTGTTGTTTGGGGGGCAGAAATTGGTGGCGGAAACTGTCACAGAACGACCTCTAAGGCACCACTTTGGATCTGTGTTGTAGTTGCACATTAATTGGTAACAAGCCCCACACGCCTCGCCTCCTCTGAAAAGTGTGCTACTCACGGCCGCCGTGTTCACTCCAAAACCCGCGTGGATGGTATTGTCATAACCACAAGCACCACCTGCGTACACATATGATCAACAATATTGTCATTAAGATTTTGTTTCGTTAAAACCAAGAACTATTGCATGAGATTTGATCCAAAATTTTCTATAACAAAGTAAAGACTGCATGCCATTAAACCAGCCGATCATTGGCAATAATGTTATTAAGTTTCAATTTTTATTGACATTATTAAATGATGGCCGCCGAGTACTGCACAAACTCATTTATATATAATCCAATTCGAGCATGTTACGTCCGCACAAGTTAATAAAAAAATTAGTATGATTAAAACAATTTTTAAAACATAAAATACGTTGTTATTGACACTTCTGAAATATATTTGATATATTAAAAAAATGTGAGGCAGCGGGAGGACATTTTTTTTAAAAACATAATAAAAAATTAATAAGAAAACATATTATCAGCACTCTAGAAAACAACTCTAAAATAATAATAAGAAATTAACTAGTAAAGTTACACAAATGAAACAATATATTTTCTCATCTAGTAAGCTAGGTAGACCAACTTTTAGACCAAATTTGCAAATTGAGTGATGTGTTCGCCAATAACAAATAAACATGTTAATCAACATTTAAGTAATAATCCAATCATCAATAACCATGTTACATAGTTTACAAATTAAATTTGGTCTAAATAGTTGGTCTCTCTAACAATAAGATTTTTTTTTATCAACCTAACATTAAGAATTCAAGTGACTTACCAAGGGTAGCTGGGTCCTGGTTGGTCCCATAGAAAGTTGCATGACCACTAAGCCATCCATTGGCTTCAACATTGGTGATAGCAAACAAGAAAATATTCCAGAAAAGAGCACAAGAAACTGCAAGACTACGCCCCATTTTAACACTCTCTCTATACACACACAAATGTAATTTGCCAAATTTGTTCTCAGACAAACTCTCAAGTACTTTAAATATATCTTGAAGAAGCAGCTTCCATTTAGTATTTATAGACTAGTGAAAAAAGGATTGTCGGTGACTAAAATAAAATAAAATGCAAATTATCATTAATGCATGCATGATATCGTATTTTACAAAAATCAGTATTTGCAAAGGATAGGCGTTTTCCTACGTCTTATGAAGTACGGAAAGACATGTACGGTAGAGGGACTGACATTTTTTAAACATGAGAGAGCAAGTGCATGTGATGGCAGCTAAGTACTTTGCGATCTGCTGTTTCTTCAGAGTAACATGTCGGTGATTTTGTTGGGCATTGGAAAATCAATGAACTGATACGATGATGACCAAATTCAAGTGCTCTGAACATGCACGAAGCTACCAATCTGAGTTTCCGATTACTTAGTACAAACTCAAATATGGACACGATCGAAATACTGCTAAACCGAACAATGAACATATTTTGGTGGTGACTTCAAATGAGTTGGATTAATTTAAACTAGTCTCTATGCACGAGCGATTTAGAGTTTGAATTAATTTAAACTAGCCTTCATACACGTGCGTGAGCGAGTGCAGAAGGCATTTTCTGAATTGCAATATGTTACGTGTGACTTACAGGTTGTAAATGTATTTATAAGCGTGAATTGCTTCAATAAATCTTTTTTTATGACAAAAAGAAAGTCAAATTTTTTTTTTTGGATAACATCTTTTGTTAAAAAAAAAAAAAAAAACCGACCATTTGAGAACTAATTGAATCACATTATTGTGCGCGTGCGAAATGCTTTTTTTATCACCGGCAGTACGCGTCTCTTAAGATGTTTGAACGTGTTTAAAAATAGAGAAAATAATATTTAATAAATAACTTATTGAATCATATTATTGCTAACTTATTGTGAGGCTAAGCCCACCCCCATTCTCTCTTAGTATAGATAATATTGTTTGTTAGGAAAAAAAGAAAAAAGAAAAGGAAACAATCATTTGACAACTAATTGAATCACATTATGCGTGTGCGAAAGACTTTTTTATAACCGGCACTACGTACCTCTTAAGATGTTTTGAAGGTGTTTAAAAATAGAGAAAATAATATTTAATAAACAATTGATTGAATCTCATTATTGTTAGCCCACTGTGAGGCTAATCCCACACCCTCCCCCTTAGAGCACTTCCAACGTGCTTTTTAGCCTCGTGGACAAGCTCCATTTGCAATCCAATCCCTTCCCAAAGTGGCGCCAACCCATGTGGGCAATTGGGCTAAGGGGGAGCTCGTTGGAGAGCTCAGGCACAAGTCCAAGGCCAGAGCGCCTGAAGGGGAGTGATGCAAGGTTGACGTCAGCATGAAGTAAGCCACGTTATAAAAACTTATGCGCTAGGCACGTGCATAACATGCATGACGGTGGGGCACATTACAGACAAGATTTTAGGTGGTGGGACCCATGCTTTATAGGCTGTCTTAGCCGTTACTAGGTGTAACGTGGCACCCTCTCGGCCGTTAGATTTCAATGACCTTTTTTTTTTGGACTATTCGATTTCCAACAGTAAAAAAAAATTTCAAAACTCCCCGAACGGCTAGATGACGAGGCACAATCTGAGCCGTTCGATTCCAAATCAATGGTCCACATTTTTCAACTTTAAAATTTTTTTTAAAAAAATCTGATATGTTACCGTTATGCCACATGTCACAATTTGGAGGGTTGGATTTCAAATTTTATGTAATCCAACAATAGAAATTAATTAAGTTAATAAAAATTTTAAAAATGTTAAAAATTAATTAAAAAATCCAATTTTTTTTAAATTAAAAAAAAATTTATTTTTCTATAAATACCTTATCATTATCTTCCACCTTACACCACACTTTCATATTTTCTCAAATACTTTCAATCACTTTCCAATCTTTCTCTCAATGTTTCTATATACTTTTGTTTCCAAAAAATATGGCTAATGATGCAGGTATGAATTAGACGCTTATTGAAGATGTTACGTTGTGTTCTATTTAGGTTGAAGTTACTTATGATCCGATTTACAGGTAATGAGATGCAGTTGCAAGAAATGTGGAGCAATATTCATTCCCTTTTTTTTTTGAGAAAATTGGTGGTAAAAGAACAGAACAATCGCTCTCAAGTCGTTGGAGAATACTCAGCCAATATCGTTTATTCATTGGAGAAACGTCTTGGCACAAGCTAGTACTAATATTCGAAGTGGGGAAAATTACGCAGATCAGATAACAATATATTATTTATTTGTTTGTACTATACCCAAATTTACATTAGTTACTTTGATTATAATTTTTTCTTCTCCTACATTTTGTAGACACTTCAAGCACAAGCTTCGTATAATGCCAAAAACAAAAACAAATCATTCAACCGGTGAGAATGTTGGAATATTGTCAAAGATTGTCCCAAATTCAAAGTTGTGCATGTCGGTCCAGAAGTTGTCATGAACAACACCCTTCTACACTCTACGCTAGATCACAACTCACATGTTCATGAAAGTGACACAGAAGAAGTGCCAGAAACGACCCTTGAACAAGTGTCGGGGTCAATCCGTTATCCATTTAGGCCTTAAGGTAAGAAGGCTTCAAAGAGAAAAAGGGAGTTCTTCCAAGAATGATTATGCAAAATATATGGTAGAACTTGCTCGCCAAGGTGAATTGATTTTGGTGCGGGAAATGGCTAAATTTGAGGCTGAAAAGGCTAGAGATGAGGCAAAAGCTACAACTACTGAGAGACTATTTCAAGCTAATGAGAGAGAAGAGCTACTTAGGCAAGAAAGGGAAGTGCTTAAAAAAGAAAGAATGGCTCAATAAGATCATGACATTATGAACATGCCTGTAGATGGGATGTCTCCGAATTCTAAATATTTTTGGAATTCGGAGAAAGTAGACGTGGTGCGAAGGAAGTGTGAAGGAGACGAGCGAGCAAGTGGAGATGGTCCCAGCACCACAAATTGGTTAGGTGATGATTTTCCATTCACGAGGGACTAGGGAATTTGTTGTATAATCGGAGCCCATAATTTTCCAATCACTTTGGGTTGTAATTTCGTATGTATTTAATTTGGTGCTCTATGGGTTGTAATTTCGTATTTATTTAATTTGGTACTCTATGTAATTTCGTATTTATTGAATTGAGTACTTTATTTAAACTAAGAGTACGTTTATTTAATTTGGAACTTTATCTAAACTAAGAGTATCTTTATTTAATTTGGTATTTTATTTAAACTAAGAGAATCTTTATTCAAAGAACATAAACACACCAAATAATAAAAAAAAAACCACACTAAATGAACTTAAAAAACATACCAAATAAAAAAGCCACACTAAATGAACTTAAAAAACACACCAAACAAACTAAGAGCATTCTTCTTCCACCACAAGCTTGTTTTTAAGTTTTTTGAGCTTGTTTCAATCCCCACAAGTGCTCTATCAAGTCACTTTGCCGGGCTTTGTCATAGTATGAGGATTGTAGTGAAGTATATCGTTGAATGAGCCTTTCTTTGTAACGTTCATCCCTTTCTAATGGCTCATATTGAACGGGTTCTTTGGTGGCGTCATATGCATAATATATTTGTGTTTTGGAATTGTTCATTGTGCCTGGCTCAAATTCATCAATGGCATCATAATCATACTCATCTTCCACAATCATGTTGTGAAGAATGATACACGTCATCATGATGGATTGAAGTAATTCTAAATCAAACAATCTGGCAGCACCCTTGACAATCGCCTAACAAGCTTGGAGGATACCAAAACAATACTCCACATCCTTCCTACACCCCTCTTGACAACTTGCGAAGTGTTTTTCCTTTTCACTTTGCGGACGTGGCACTATTTTGACAAATGATGTCCACCTTGGGTAAATGTCATCTGCTAGATAGTGTGCTTCGTCATACTTATGTCCATTTACCCAATATGTGACTTTCGGTGCTTTTCCTTGTAGCACCTCGTCGAACACTGAGATTGGGCAAGGACATTGAAGTCATTTTGAGCTCCTGGAACACCAAAAAAAACATGTCAAATCCATGTATCAAATGATGCCACGACCTCCAAAATGATACTTTTTGCTCCTTTTTTGTCCCCATAAGCTCCTTGTCATGCACTTGGATAGTTTTTCCAGGTTCAGTGCATCCAGTCGATGGTTCCAATCATGCCAGGAAAACCTCGAATCTCACATTTCTTCATAAGCCTTTACAAGTCCATTGTTGTAGGTCTCTGGAGATACTCTTTGGTGTATATAGATTCGATTGCAAAGCAAAACCTCATTAGGGACTCAAGAATGGTTGATTTCCCCGTCCTCGTTATCTCATCCACTTGGTCTGCAGATGCTCCATATGCAAGCATTCGCAAGGCAACAGTAATTTTTTACTCAGGAAGAAGACTTTTGACACCAAAAGCATCATTCTTTTGCACAAAGTAAGAATCATGGTTGCAAATAGCAATCATGATTTTGTTGAACAAATGTCGTTGTATTCTAAAATGATGCCTAAAGTACGTATCAAGGAATACACTGTTATGGACAAAATAATCGTCCAAGAGATCCTTACCTCGTCGTTGCCTACTTCTATCAATGTTTGCTGAACGCCTAGGCCTAGAGGTCTCAGCCACAGCTTAGATGACTCGACGGGAATGTGATGCCCTTTGGCTTCTTGTTTTGTCATCTCTCCTTCTACTTTCCTCATCCTCATCCTCTTCCATCTCATTTTTTCCTTCCTGGAGATTGAACATTTCTTCCCCTTACTTAAACAATTCTTTCTCTTGCCCATCGATTTCCCACAACATCCTTGAAGAAGACATTGTAAGAAGGAAGGAGAAACTATGAATAAGGATAGAGATTTTGAGAGATTTTGATTTTGATGTGTGAATTCTTAGGATGGATGGTGGGATATATGGAGAAAAAAGAAAGGATTATGTTGTAGATAATGCCACGTGGCACGCCTTGATTTGTTAAAAA